GTTTTATGCATGCCTACGTTAGACGAATATAAAAATTTTATCAAGTCCTTTAAAATACAATCCAATTAAATGGCCCATGTTTTCAAGTTTTGAAGGGAATTTTTTAAAAACTCACACTGTACTAATAACCAGCATACCACCTTACTAAGGAAACACTGGCCAACTCAGACAAAATAAGCTCTGTCTCGTATGTGTAGGCATCTGTCAGACTAGAATCTTTAGTAGGTGATCGTGCTAGTTGAACTTGACGTTCTTCCCTTGTTGTAGATGAGAACACTTCCCGAGGACACATTTTCAATGACACTTGCTCAGGAGGAAGGCAGTGGGAAGCAGGCATCAATCTATTATTTGAAAAAGTTGAGCTCAGAACTTTTAAGGGACCTACCCAAGTTCTGTTACCTAGGTCTTTCTATAACGATCTACTTTCCCAATGGACTCTTCATTGGATAATTCTTCATGGGTAATTTTTGGCTTTTCACTAAGACCCAAGCCAAACCAACAAGCATAGAGTCGATTCTGATGTGTCGTGACCATCTATAGCATTTCCAAGACTTACAGTCTTTAGGGGAGCAGACAGGATCATCTTTCTCTTGCCGACTAGCTGGTGGGTTTGAATCGCCCATCTTGCGGTTAGCAGTCTAATGCTTACCTGACAGCGACTCCAGGTAAGGCTGACACTAATTTGGCAGGGACCAAATTCCAACTCACTGCCAGGGTCCATTGCAACTTCGGGATCCTAAAAGACAGGGCAGAGCTGCCCCTGTGCATTTCCAAGCCTGGAACTCTTCATAGGAGTAGAAATCCTCCTCTTTCCCCTCAGAGCAGCTGGTGGGTTCCTATTGCTGACTTTTCTGTTAGCCACCAAACACCTAGCCTCTACGCCCCCAGGGTTCCTTTGCCAGGGACAGACAGACCATTTTACTTAGACGTGGTCAATTAGATAGGAAGCTCACTTCTATTGCAAACATGTTAGTATGCCAAGAGATGATGCTCCCCAAACCCGAAACTCCACTCACTGCCATCGAGTCGAGGCCTACTCATGGTGATCCTGTAGGACAAGGTAACGGGGGTCCTGTGAATTTCTGAGACTGGAAAGAATAGATAGCCTGATAAAGAGTAGAAAGCCCAGTCCTTCTTCCTCGAAGCCACTGCTGGTTTTCAACAGCTGACCTTGCAGCCCAACACATAGCCACCGTGTCACTGATTATACTACAAACTTTTCTATGCATTCTCACTTTTACTCTCTACAAGAACTCTGAAAGGAGTTCTCTATGAATGTCCCCATTTTCTAAATGAGAAACGGAATAGGATAGAGGCCAGGTAACCTGTTCAAAGACACACATCTAAGAAAGGGTCAACCCAGAGATGGAAACAAAATCAAATTCCAAAGGCTATGTGTTAAATCACTTTACCATGCTGCCTCCACCTAGGGACAGAAAGAGATAAGGCATATTTATTATTTTAAAACGAGTACACCTTCATGTCTCCTTTTCCCAGTTCCATGCAAACAATGGCAATGAGATGGAATTCTGAAAACAAAACAAAACAAAAACAAAAAAAATCTTGAAATCTTGAGGAATGCAAATCACTAGTACTCCGTCCTTCAGTTCCTGGGCCACTGGCTTTGTTTAAGCACAAGGTCCTCACTGCAAAAGAGACATCAGACAGTGTGTAAGACAATTGTGTGAATAATGTTTTTGCATCAGTGTTAACAACTGTTTGTAAAACCCTGTTAAGAAAGCGTTGCCGGCATGGAGGAGCTAAGCCAGTTCTTCAGTTGTGTCAGCGATGCTCTTGTGGCTGACAGAATATTTATTCCTAGAGGTAACTGTTATAAATTGCATTTTGCCCCTCCAGTTGCTACAAGCTTGTGATGGAGAGTGGGCAGGGAAGACAACCTGTAATTCAGGATGGTTTGGAAGCCGGTTGCCTAGGAAACTGGGACGAGCCGCATAATGCCTACCTAAAACCAACTGTCAACAAGAGAAGAGATTTTCTTTTTTTGATCTTCATTTCTTTCTAAATACATCATCTGTGTTTATTGTGGAGCCTGATTAGGGCCATTGGCCCTGGATGGACAGTGCATGCCAAACTGGGACAGGGGTTAGCCAGGAAGAAAGAGCCATTATTAGTAAATACTGTGCTGACAATACGGGGGAGGAAGGAGCCAGGAAGGTAACATTAAAATGAATTTGTAAAAAGAGAAGGTGGCCAACAGATGAATATTTTACATAATGCAATGTGCATGTGATTCTCAATCCTAACTTATCTGCATTGAAATTTATAGATGCAAAACTCACTTTCTTTTAACCTAACAGTTTTATTGGCTGGAATTCTCTGTTCCTTGCTCTTAGACTATTCACAACAGAAGCTGATTAATAGTTGAAAAGTTATTTCCAAGGATAGCACTTTAAAATTGATAAAACTTGACAAAAAAACCCCCAACAGTACCTGGTCTTCCAATTGCATTTAAGCTATGCACATTTAGGCTAGCATTAAATTTTATTATATAAGTGCATTGATAAAGTTATAACTTCATAGATGCGCATATACATGTGCATATATATTTATGTTGAGCCAAATGAAATTGTGGGTATGAAACAACATTCAGCCTAAAAAAATAGCAATTTCATCTATCTCACCCTAGACATAAATAAAAGAGACAATAGAATATGTGCATGTGCATTTGTCCTTTCTTGGTAGGGTCCCCTATTCCTTCTTTTCTCATCTCTTCATTAATCTATGGCATCAAGTCGATGCAGACAAACAGAAATGCTACAGGACAGCCAGAACTCCTCCAGAGCACTTCCAAGACTACAAACTTTAGGGCGGCAGAGAGCCTCCTCCTTTTCTGGTTGAGAGACTGGTGGGTTCATACTGATTACCTTGCAATTCTCCACCCAACACATAACCCAATCTGCCTCTGGGACTTCCCATCTCTGCCTTACCTTATCCTGTATCAACTTATCCTATTCTCATCTCCAAGGCTATGCGTACTTAACCATGTATGTATTCTCCACACTCAAAGACTTAGAAACATGCTTAAATATATTGGTCTATCCATGTTTGTACTAATGACAAAATCATGTTTCTGAATCTCAAACTCCCAGATTATTGATAGCCGAATATTCTCTATACTGAATTTGAATATTTTGTTTCTTCTTTGCACGTACCCAGAATGAATTTCAACTTGATTTGGGGCTAGGTTTCTCCTCTTGGAAGGTTACTTCAGTTGAATTTGAGTTCTCTTATCATGTGTCAGCAATTACTCACAGGTGATTCAAGCTCTAAAGTACGGCGGTGCATCCCATGGTTTGAGTAGTGAGCCTTTTTTAGCTTCCTTCATTTGACCTAACGTGTTATAGAGTTGAGAGTAAGGATTCATAAGAAAGAAGTATTTTCAGCTTTATTCTGCTAGCACTCAGCCCAGAATTCCATGGCTTCTCCTGCAAGGAAAGACAGTCTCTTTACCCCTCCCTGGCTTCTCCAAAGCCTTTTCTCTGGCTCCCACTCATCCTTCAGAACAAAAGGAACCGTTATTTAGGCAACAGGATCATAGAAGAAGATCTTTGATTCCCCCCTCCTTCTTAGAGAGGTGAGTGTTTGAAATGTTAGAGAAATAAGAGGTAAAACAAATAGGCTAGATCACCTTGTGTTTCTCACTCTCAGTCAAAGGTGATTCTCCCCTCATTGCTTACTCCAAGGCTTTTCAAGCCCCAAGGGACAATCATTGCTTCAGTATTTGTTTAGCAAGGTGGGCACTTTCCTATGATGCTGGGCCACAGGAGGGTTCTGGGGACAAAATGATCTTGACATACACTTAGTTAAAGAGTCTTAGTGGTGCATAGTTAAACACTCAGCTGCTAACTGAAGAGTTAGTGGCTCAAACCCATCAGCTGCTCTGTGGGAGAAAGACTTAGCAATCCATCCCCATCAAGACAACCTCATGGGACAGTCACCTTCTCACATGTAAGATCACTCTCCCATAGGATCACTGGCACCCAACAGCAATAAACTGGCTCGAGGGGGATTTAGTGAGTTTAATGAGCAACAGAGAAGGGAGGAAAAGGAGGACTAGGTTTGATATTTTCTGCCATTTCTCTGTCCACACACCCCCACATGTCCCTGCTTAGGACTCGGGAACTCTTTGGTGCCCACACAAATGCTTGCCGTTTGTCCAATTTGATGCCACTGGGCCCGAGTGTCTTGTTTGTTTGGAAAGGAAACAGCTTTGCAATGAACTCATGGGAGTTTGGGGGGTGATCTCTCAGGAGCACGGGTGCAGGCTCCATTCCCAAGAGTTATGATTTGCCTGATAGCATTTTATCCGAACTAGGGACTCGTGGCCAAGGAGCAGGTGGCTCGGTCTGGTTCTTGTGAGATGGAGGACAGTTATTGAGTTAGAAGCAGAGTCTGGCCTTCTCCTGCCTGCCAGAAGGCTTCAAAGCTGCCGAACTAGGAGCCGCTTCAGATTAGAGACTTCAGTAACTAATGACCCCTGTCCTCCCCTGCAGCAGTGAAATCTGAAAATGGCCCTATGGGAGGAGAAGTAAACCCTGACAGCTGTTTAGAGGTCATTTTAGAGCTCAAGCGCAGGAGGGATTCTTTTAGGTCCTGGGAGAGAGAGAGAGAGATTAGTGTACATAGCAGGTAGCTGTTTGCTGGGTAGCCAGGTGTGTTCTGAAGGCCAAAGCCCTGCGTCAGCAACCAACAGACAAACGTTGAGCTCCTGTGCCTCATGGAAAGCACAGTGGGCATGGGAACACGGACTCACACCCATGCACCCACCCTCACACCAACTTCATACAGATCTCCCCAGCAGAGCAGGCTGTGTGGGTGAGAGCGTGAAGCCAGGTGATACTCCACCGAGGCTTGTAATCTTGCATCCTGGAAGCCTTTTTTCTTTCTTTCTTTCTGTGAAAGCCTGTGAGTAATCGGGGTACAGCTTGGCTTGCCACCTGGGCAGAGTTAAAACATCAAACGTTCTGATCCTGACCGCCATGGAGTTTCTAGAAAGAACTTATCTTGTGACTGACAAAGCTACCAAGAGGTATGCCTTCCCACTAGACAGGTAATGGACATCTCTCTCTCCCTCACCGGTTTCTGTACTTTGAATATTCAAGAAGTGCCTATTGCTATTGCTTCAGAATTGGAAACTTGTGCTTTGCAACTTGGGGGACGTTTTGTAAAATTTTATAAGGTGCTGACTGATTTGTCAAATTCAGGGCCTGAACAATGCCAAGGTTTTTATATGGTGGATTTGATTTCTTAAATATTCTGTGTGCACAAAGGAAACAATTTATGAATGCAAAATTAAATCTGTGGTTTCTCTTTGGTAAAATACATATCTATATGCTCATGTGTTTTCCTGTTACTTCCTCAGTTATTCCCTCCTTGGAGAGAGTACATTTTATTAATGATATTTAGTTACATATATATATATATATGTTTGTCAACAATGGGGCAAAATTGTGGTGACACCGATCTTAAAATTACTTACTGTTTTCTTAATCCTAAAGTACGTTGTCAGTGTACGCACATGTAATAAGTACAGCTGATTGGACTGTTCTGCAACGTCAAGTTCCTTTCATATGTCCAGTAGGGACACATTTAAGACATGGATTCATTTTGCACTTAGTTAATGATGATTGATTAGGCGCATGTTGGGTGAAGTGCTGGATATATCATGCAGATGAAATTCTTCCAAGTCCTAGACCTCTGCTTCACGGAAGCTTGGGGTCCATGAAAAAACAGTATGTGATAACCACGGAGCGGGGAGCAGGGTGCTGGGGTGGGCAGTGAGAAAACCACAGCCGAATAGGAATCCCACTGCACTTTGAGCATCAGGGAGTTGCTTTTCTCAAGAGAATGGTAGCAAGGTTGAGAACGCAAAGCGGAGGGAGAGTAGGGTTAGAAGGCCCCACGTGGAACAAAGGGCAGTTCTGCAGACTGGATGGATTGCAGGTAAAAGTATACACATGGAAGAGTGAGTGCTTGATCATGTTGGAGGAGCCGAAGTGGTTCTTCCCAAGTGGGAACAGAAAGGGGCACACGCAGTACAAATAGATAAAAATCTGATATTAATTTATATGATAAGAGGCTACCTGCTCTTGAGCTCTACTTCTGTGTAAGAGGCTACCTGCTCTTTAGCTCTACTTGTGTGTGTGTTATTGTTTGTTGTTGGTTTCTTACGACCAAAGAATAACATTAGTTTTGTATCATCAAGTATTTGAGGACATACAGTGGGATTTTTTTCTTGGGATATTTGTAATTTTCCTTAAAAGTGTATAACCAAGGCCCTAGAACATCTATTGTCTCACATTATAAGAATTATTTATCTTAGAAAATATTTTTAGGTGCCATCTATCAAGATTGTAAACATTAAAAAATCCCAAATTAGGTCAAGCAGAAATTTTAGATCACAAATTGCTAATACTGTGGATAATATTAATGGACAATCCCCAGTTACTGAAATAACAGTCTTTCCCTCATTATTAAAATGTGCTTTGAGCACGCTGCTATAGAAGTAAGCTGTTTCCAGTCACAAATATCATTCATTTCTTAAGAGACATGGTTTTTTTGATAGGGCTGATAAAAAACTGTCAAATTCACTTTTCTTTTTAAAAAAGTTAAGTCTGGAAGAAACTATTTATCCAAATCCCTCATGTTAATGTTAGAAAATGAAACGTCAGTGGGAAGAAAGGCCTTTCTGAAGGTCTGGTGGTTCACTATGACTGGATCGGGATCGGGATCTATACCTTCTATTTGTTCATTTAGCATCTCTTCCTTTCCCCTCCCCACCCCTCCCCACTGTATGCATTTGCACCATGCTGCCTCTTACATCCCTGACCTCTTTCCTCAGATATTTGCCCCCAATTTCATAGATACCAAACCAAAAGGGTTATTTATAAAATGAAGGAGCTCCTTCTCCGAGGAAAAACCTTGGTGGTCTGTGTCTGTAAAGATTTCCAGTCTTGGAAATGGCACCGCCATCAAGTTGGTTTCAGCTCATAGCAGCCCTGCAGGTCAAAGTAGAACTGCCCCCTAGGGGTTCCAAGACTGTAAATCTCTACAGATGCAGGCCACCAAGGCTTTTCTTCTGGAAGGGGCTCTTTCATTTTATAGAAACTATCCACAGCTTTTTCTCCCCCTTCTTTCTCTCCTTTTATCTAAGGGTCCCTAGTGACACAATGCCTAAGCACTTAGTTGCTAACCAGAATGTTGGCAGGCCAAACACCAGTGGATCCCTGGTGGTGATGGTGGGGTGGTGTATGTGTGTGTGTGTGTGTGTGTGTGTGTGTGTGTGAAAACAGGCCTGACCATCTGCTCCTGTGAAGAACATAGTCTGGAAGACTCTGGGTCAAGTCTAGTCTGCCGGATAGGCCCACTGTGATTCAGAACAGACTGAGTGGTATAGACCAGTTGCCGTTCTTACCACCTCCCCACCGGCTTCCCATTTACATCGTTACTTTTGTGGGTGGCAGTTGCAGCCCAGGCAGAACAGAGCCTTCCACGGGCTTCCGTGACTGACATTTTAGCAGCGGACCATCACCTTTCTGAGGGCCTTTGAAGCACGGGTCTGCAGCTAGTCGGTGTCTACTTAACTGTCTGTCCCACCCGGGGACTCCATTTGAGAAATTCAATCTGCAAGAAATCTTGTCACCTAAGTCACCCAGGGAGTGGTTAATTTAATATTGTGTATAAACTACTCCAAAAACTTAGTAGCTGAAACCATCATTTTATTACTCACAACTGGATGGGGCCAAAGTTTGGACAGGGCTTCGTGTGAGGTCAGCTGGGTTGGTTCATGAGGTTTTGCATTTGGTTGGAGGTTGGCCTGGGCTGGAAAGTTCAAGATCGCTCAACTCATGGGTCCACTCTTTGTACTGGCTGTTGGCTGGGGGCCGTTGTTCTTACCATGGTGTTTTTCCTACCTTGCGGATAGCCGGGAAGCCTTTCAGGGGTCATTTCACTTACGGTGGAAGGCCTAAACATGATTTTTTTTAACCACATTTGAGTAGATTAAACATGTCCCAAGACTCGGATTCCAGAAATGGGAACATAAACTCCCCCTAGTGAAGGCATGTGCATATAGGTCTGATAAGAACCCTGGGAAATCATCCTTCAGCACAAGGGACCACAGGAAGTACTTCTATTGGCCCCTGTAGGTGTTGGGAACATCACCATTATGTTTCCTTTGCTTTCGTCCCTCATTTTGGTCCTGTGATTCCCCCTGCTTTGCAAGAAGTTCTGTGGCAGCAAAAAGTCACCTGTGTAATGGTGACTTGCACCTTGCATATGGTTTGTTTCGAGCTGAACGGAAAAGAGCTGGCTTCTCCTTTTTCTAAGTTGTGTTTATGAAAAGTGCTGGAAAAGTGAAGAAGTAGGGAGAAGCGGTCAGAGTTTCAATACGGGAGTGGAAGACTCTCCGGGTGGTGCTCTTTGAGCAGAGCAACCACCTAGCGGACAAATTGTATTAAAAGCAAACTGAATGAGGGAGGGGGCAGAGTGGAGACCCAAAGCCCATCTGTAGACAATTGGACATCCCCTTATAGAAAGGTCACAGGGAGGAGATGAGTCAGTCAGGGTGCAGAAAAGCACTGATGAAACATACGACTTTCATTCCCCCCTATCATGACCCCAGTTCTACCTTACAAATCCGGCTAAACCAGAGCATGTACACTGGTACAGATAACAGCTCACAACACAGGGCATCCAGGACAGATAAACCCCTCAGGACCAATAATGAGAGTAGTGTTATCAGGATGGTAGGGGAAAGATGGGGGGAGGGGGAAAGGAAGATCTGATCACAATGATTGACATATAAACACCCACCCACCCAGGGGAAAGAACAACAGAAAAGTGGGTGAAGGGAGACATTGGTCACTGCAAGACATAAAAAAAATAATAATTTATAAATTATCAAGGGTTTGTGAGGGAGGGAGGGAAAAACATGAGGAGCTGATACCAAGGACTCAAGCAGAAAGTGTTTTGAAAACGATGATGGCAACATATGTACAAATGTGCTTGACATAAGGGATGAATGGATTGTGATAAGAGCTGTAGGAGCCCCCAATAAAATGTTTTTTTTTAATTAAAAACTTTAAAATCCTTGGAATTGTCTTAGGAACAAATGAAGAACTTTAAAAAATTATGGAGCTTTTCAAAATTTGACACTAAATTTCAGTAAAAAGAGAGTTGTGGCATTTGAACCACAACCCCCTAAATTAGCTACTCCCTAAGTGGGGTGCTCTGGCGGTGTAGTGATGACGAATTGGGCTACTAAATGAAGGCCCCCCGGTTTGAAACCCTCAGCTACTCTGTGGGAGAAACCGCAGGCTTCCTATTCCCATAAGGAGTTTCAGTTTCAGACATGCACATGGGCAGTTCTACCCTGTCCTATAGCGTCACGCTGAGTCGGCATGGACTCCAGGGCAGTGACTGTCTTCTGAGCATGCACAGCCAACCGGACAGCCGGCTCAGTCAATGGCTATGCCTTCACCTTGAGAGGGACAGCCTGCAGTGATCTCTTACCCTCCTCGCTCTGTGTTGCAGAATGTCAATTTCATGCAGACGTGGCTCAGAAGGAGAATGTACCCTTCAAGTACTCAACAGTCATGCTTAGGGCAGAGTCTCTACAGTACGGTCCAAGGGCCCCTGCATATTTTCAGGGCCGAAATTCTATGCCAGAAGTTCTGTACCAGCCAAGAAGACCAAGGGCTATTTTTCCTGCCCAGCACCCTCTGCTTAGAGAGCGTGTGTTATACCAGAGAAGTGGGCCACTGCTGTTTTCCCAAGCCTTGCTTGGTGCAATGGCACAGAGTTTCTGCCCAGGCAGGGAAAAAGGCCATGGGGACAGAGAATTGTTACTCACCCTTCATAAATTGATGACACACTAACCAGAAATTTATTGGGTAGACCAGAAAGAAACTCATTTAGAAGAAAGCTTGAGGGGTTTTGAGTTAAGGACACTGTTAAAAACAATAAAGATTTTGGTGCTGAGCAATTGAGAGGAGACTGGTTTGTCTATGATAGCAACATATGAAATGGTGGACCAGCTAGAAGTTTAAAAGAGAAAAGGAGGGAAAGATAAGGGTAAGGTGAGCCTTCTTGGATCTGGAGCAAGCTGCAAAGACCAGCCTCAATGAATCCCCTTGTAATGGGTCTAACTTTAATTAGAACAGATTGTGGAGCAATTTATGGCTCAAGAAATTGTTGAAAACAATAAAGAAATCAGCAAGAAATACGTGGAGGATAAGAGTTGCTTCTGATACCGATACAATGAGAACAGCCAGATGCTTACCATTGAGATGGAAGAGAAAGACAAAGAGAACTCACCCCAAGCCACCATCATTGCTGAGGGGAAGGAGGGAGAGAGGGAAGGCAAGAGAGCCTGTGCACCTACCCCAAAATGTGCTGAGGAACAAGAGAGGTTGCATATGATCGAGGGAACCAGGGGAAACGAACTCCACTGTAATGGTCCAGGTGAGTCTCTTAACAAATAAACTAGAAAACAAGTGAAAATCAAAGGCACCAAACATAAGACCTGGGAGGGCCAAGCATCCAAAACGACTGCCCTGCACTATTTCAGATGCCCCGTTCTCTGCGAACTAGCCTTCCTAGAAACAGGAAAATGTGATCCAGACAAAGTAAAAAGTGCAGGTCATAGAGATGTCAGACACAGCAGAAAAATACTTCAAGGTAGCTATTGTACATGTGTTCAGAGAACTGAGAGGGAAGTCTTGTTTACAGCATTCAGTGAGGGCGATGAGGTATAATGTCTCATCAGATAGAAAATATCATCAAAGATCCAAACATTATCACTTAAAAAGGATATCATTTATATAGTTTAGAACTTAGAAATAAAAATTCTGAAGTGGAAAAGCAAAATAACAAAAATGGAGAAGTCACTCGATGAGTTCAACAGTAGATTTGAGCTGACAGGAGAAAGAAGCAGCAATCTTGAGAAGAGTTTAATGGAGATCAGGTCATCTAAAGAAAGGAGGGAACAGAACAGAGAAGGGAACTAAGCCCCGGGACATGGAGTGTGCCATTGAGTCCATGGATACGTATGTAGTGGGAACATGAGAAGGTAAGAAAAGAGAGAAAGAAGCATAAAACCATTCAAAGCACTCATGGCTGAAATCCTCCCCACGTCAATGAAAACACTACCTTACAAACCCAGAAAGCTTCACAAACTCTAATCGGAATACAGAGAGGTCTGTATCCTGATCCATCAAAACCAAACGTTGTAGTCAAACTTTTGAAGACTGAGGTATGCTGACTCAGGCCTCGGTATTTTCAATCATATCCCGTGCACGTGCAAACTGGACATGGAATAAGGACAACAGGAGGGGAAATGACATAATGCTGGCAAAACATTCCCAGAAGAACAAGCAAATCTCTCTTGAAAGAAGTGCAGCCGGAATGCTCCTTAGAAACAGGGATGGTGAGACTTTCCCTCTCGTGCTTTGGTCATGCTGTCTGGTGGGATCAGTCCCAGGGCAAGGACATCACACGGGGTCAGCTGGAGGGTGAGCAAACCATAGGTAGACCTCCATGCAGGAAGGATTGACAGAGTGAGTCCAACAATGGTGTCAAGCATAACAATAATTGCAAGGCTGTGGCAGGACTGGGCAGTGTCTCATTGAGTTAGAGCTGACTTGATGGCTGGTAGAGATTGTTAGTAAGGTCTGGGGTTCTTAGGGACTCAGCAGCAAAAAGTGCTGTCATCTATTAATGATGTTGCCATGGGGGGCGGGAGAGTGTTGTGTGTTTTCCCTTTCCAATGGGCCATGGTGGTTTCATGCTGGGATTTTTGCCTCGCATGGAGGAGACCTGCATTCAATTTCCATCAATGCATTTTATACTATAGGGCTGGATGGTTTTAGCGGTACTTCCAGACTAAGACCGACTGTAAAGAGAGGCCTAGTGATCTGCTTCTGAAATCCGCCAATGAAGCCCAAGGGATCACAATTCTGTGGCCGGCAACCCTTGGACCACTTGATTCCATTGTGCTGCGCATTGGGTTGCTGTCAAGGAGTGAGCGTGTGGGGGAAAGGGGACAGCAACTCTGGCAGCTAACAGTCAACCACGCCTTTCTTTGCTGTCTCAGTCCCGCCAGCTGGTAACTAGGAAAGACATACCTCAAAGCTGACCTGCTCTCTTCCTCCTACGCCTTCGACATCTCTTCATCACCTGGGGGAATTAAATTCTCTGCAGTTGAGAATTCAAAAGGACATTCCCTGCCTGTGGAAGGGAACTGTGAATGATAACTTCTTAGGTAGGGAGTAAATGCCCTGACAGTGTCCCAGGGATGGACGGGCTCTCAACGAGGTGCTTGCTTGCAACCATGCTCATTCTTGCTTCTGTCAAACTCCCCCACAGGGTGGAACTGCGACAGAAGCCCCAGAATAAAGATCAATGTCTCGGAGAGAAGCCGGAGGAACCGGAGACAGGAACCTTTCATCACTGCCACAACCACTGCAAGGCCGCTGAGAACAGGGCCAAGGAACAAGTCCGAGCCAAGTGGAAACTCAGTGCTGCTTCAGCAATCTGCTTCGTTTTCATGATTGCAGAAGTCGTGGGTGCGTACTGCTTCAAAAGTCTTCTCTGATTAAACAAACAAACAACCCCTGCAGCAGTACTAGAGGGTCACCTGGGTGCTTCTTTGAAAAGAAGCCTGCTGTGCTTTCTGTAATTGTCAAGTGAAAATAGGTCATTGCCGACAACTTGGACAATAGAAGGAAACACAACAAACGCCATCACTATCTCACATTTAAGTGATAACCTCTCGGTACATAGGGAATAGTTTCTATTCATATTTCACAGCCTTCTTTACTGGATGCTGTGGACCATGCCATCCAACTCATTTCTAAGACTTGAACAATACTCTAAAGTCAGCCTGCTGTGATTAACATCCCCAGTTCTGCATTGTTAGAAATTTAGGGAGCGTTTTTTCTGTTGACAGACGATGATACAATGAAAACCCTTGAATAAAACTCTGCCTGCCTTTTCAGCCATTCCCTTCCAACAGATCCCTAAAAGAGAAAATAATTGGTTAGAAGACATAAATATTTAAATTTTGCATGCATATTGCCAAAAGGCTAAGGAAGTTTGAAAGCTTCTGTCAGTTCTGCATGAGAACAACTTTCAGAATCATTGCTATTATAAAGGCAAAAATGATCCATTTTATCTACTTAATAGTTATTGATAGAATATTCTCTGTATGCTTTGTAGTGATCTGTATATTTCTTTGCCCTTTTATGTCTATTGCCAATTACTTTAGAGAGCTTTGTAAATTCTCTAGACTGATTTCTGTGAGTTCCTTCACATGTCAAACCTTGGTCATAATTGTTATCCATACTTTTCCAGTTTGTTGTTTGCATTTTAATATTTTGGTTGACTAAGAGAAGTTTGACATTATATAAAGGTAATTATATCAACTTTTTCAATTATTTTACTACTTTTACCACATTAATGCTCAGTAATCCTTCCCCCACTTAGTGAACAGATACATACAGATAAATTTTCTTTGCATTTCATGTTTAAACTAATCTGGAATCAGATATATGCTCTAAGTATTAAAAAAATTTTTTTTCCTAAACAGGTAACAAAACTTTCAGCATCATTTATAGAATAATAATTCTTTTCCCATTGAATTTGTTTAAGTCTTTCTCTTATTGTTTATCAGGTAATTAAAAGTAATAGAATTTAGTCCTAGAGAGTTTTATTGATCTGTGCTCCTACCCTTCTTCCAGAGACAGACTTACCTAATTAATGTAAATGTATATGTTATAATGCTTGTTGTACACAGGGTCACTATGGTTGGAGTTGACTTGAAATCACCTAACAACATCACCAACAGCTAAAGCAGTGATGTGTGTGTGGTTGGTGTGGGGGAGCATTAACATGACAATGGTACGGGGTGCTCAAGAAAGACTTAGAGACTCAGTTAGGCAGTCTGGATTCATCCTTTGGGCCTAGAGCTGTAATGGAGGTGAACTGAGAAGAGGCCAGCCAGAGAGCCTCGCTTAGAGAGAGAACTGGCCATACGGTACAGAGTACGGAGGAAGTAATGAAGGGTGAAAGCATCCATGTGCCCCTTGTTCAAGGACCTTTGAACCTAGTGAAATGCTTGTGGATATTTGTAATTGTGGAAAGACCCTGAAGAGGCGTTACAGTGCAGACATCCACAGGCATCTCTGTTTCAAAAGAGGCAGCTAGCTGTTCAGGGCCATTAAGTAGGTTCTGACTCAGAGCGACCTTATAGACCCAGAAGGAAACACTGCTTGGTCTTGCTCCATTCTCACAATGATCCTTGTGTGTGAGCCCATCATGGCAGCCACTGTATTAATCCAGCTTGTGAAGGGCCGTCCTCTCTTTTGCTCTCCCTCTACTTCACCAAGCACGATGTCCTTCTCTTGGGACCGGTCTCTCCTGATAACATAAAGTAGTGCTTGTCAGGGCATTTTGGCTACACGTCTTCCAATAGAGATTTGTTTGTTCCTTTGGCAGTCCATCAATATTCTTGGCCAGCACCATAATTTAATGACAGCATAGAAAACTAAGCTCAAGTATGGTCATTAGTAGGCAAAATGAGAGTGTCCAGGGAGAAGTATCAGAAGCAGACTCTTCAGAGTGAAGTAATGATGTAAGAAATACTAGATGACAAGACTAGACTACAAAGCCCAGAGAAGCAGGCTAGCGAAAAGGATAGCTATCTTAGAGAAGAAAAAGTCTTAAGACCTCTCTCTTAGAGAAAGATATGGTTAGATGGTGAAAGAACCACAGGCTCTATTGCTAAGTGGATTTATTTCATTTTGTGCATTTTTGCTCCTAGACTTTGTGTTCGGTTGGGTTGTCTAGTGAAACAAATCCAGTGACATTCAGATATGCCTAAGTAAAAAAAGCTTTGCAGCAATACGGATTCTTAGAGCAATAGAAGGCATCCTAGCCCAGTCCAATTTAACTCCAGAAGTCTGCTGCAGGCCAAGGGCCTCTTCAGACTCACGTAGCTGTGGGCTGGTGATGCAGGAAGCAGAAAGATCACAGGCTGGTGGGGGCAGAGTCACAGGGATCCAAGGTTGGTGGAAAAATGGAATGCGACCAATAGCTCTCAGAGTCAGGCAGCCCATATGGGGCCATCCCTGGAGGCAGTCAGAGTTTCAGGAGGCAGCGAGGGAGAGAGAGAGAGAGGGGGAGAGAGAGAGAGAGGGAGAGAGGAGAGGTTTCCACCTTTCTTAAAAGAAGGCCACAACTCCAGGGTCTGGCCTACGATTGACAGGTTGGACTCTCCTTATATTTTCAGAAAAGTTCACATTGCCATAAAATTTAACTGCCAGAGACTTCTGTTTTCCTGCACAACCCTTTTCTTCATGCTCATCTCTGCCTCTGTTCTGTAAAAAGCTCTTCAATATTTCCAGCAAGTATGGCTCTTGGAGACTGTAGCCCACTACACATACCTTCACTATAATGAACTTCAGGCAGTGAAGGGAGGGATTTGTTTATTTTTGTGTATCTTCTCCTTGGCACTAAACACAGTCAGAGCTCTATCAATACTGGCTGGATGATTGCATTAGTTGTCAATAATACCCCATGCTTTCAGAAGCAAATGCAAAATCAGTTGCAAACTGCCTCTTGCCAACAGTTTGCTTCCTAGGACTCAGCTTGACAGACCACTCTTTTCTGGATTGTTCTTCTAAGTAGCTCCGATGGCTGCAGAATGGTTCTCGCTTCCACGTCTCCCAGATGGACGTGCTCTTTCCAAAGAAAGCCCTTTTTCTTTCGCTGTTGTCTCCTGACTCAGTTGAGCCTGTTGAACAAAGCCCGGTAAGACTGTGTTTCCTTGACGTAGGCCACGTTTTTGGCCTCGCACTGTGGAATCATCATCATCACTCACAGAGGAGATTGGGGCACACTGCTTGTCTGCATGCAGTCATTCTCAGGGTGAGGAATAATGCATTATTAACACAGCTTTATTATCGGGCCCACGTTTGGCAGATAGAGCAACATTAGAGGATAATTGGGAGGACAGCTGATTTGTTAGCAAAATGTTGCTTTTTGGCTAATGAATCATTCTGACTTCTGCCCTGACAGCACAGTAAAAAGCTTGAAGACTGCTTTGCTTCAGACCATTAAACTTTGACAAACCCGTTATTAACTACAGCCAGAGCCAGCAGTCTGTGGGCATGATTGCAATTATGAGCCATATCTGTAATTTTAAAAAATCATTAGGTGAGACAAGGTGAGCCTGCTGATGGAGAAGCTGATGACTGACAGTGCCCGTTGCTTGGTAGCACCCAAGGCAATAAACAGCTGCTGGGGGCACTAATCAGTCAGCAAAAGCTCTTTGCCAGAGAAGCTGTAGTCAGAGCAATAAAGGTTATTGCTCTCCAACAACCTGCTGCCAGAAGGACATGGCCAGGGTCCTTTTTGAAAGGCCTGGCGTAGTCATGCGGTGCGGCACAAACGGACAGGCACAATGGTGGCTCTAAAGAGCATTTGCTCACCCTTGAGGAGACTGATTTTGTTATTGTTAGGTGTCCTGAAGTTGATTGAGCCGATGGGAAAGATCAGAGCTTCCTGGACTGAAAACCTTCCGGAAGCCAGCCAATGGGTCTTTGTCTTTGAACTGCTGGGTGGCTTCAAAGTGCCCATTGTTGGGTTAGCCATTGAGTGCTTAACCCACTAGGGATCTGAATACAGGGTACTAGCTTTATGGGAAGATCTTTCTCTCTCCACCAAAACCAACGCATGGCCATTGAGCCAATTCTGACTCATCGCGCCCCCCGCAGGTCGGGGTAGAACTGCCCCTGTGAGTTTCTAAGACTGATACTCACTATAGTAGTGGAAGGCCTCCTCTTTCCCCCATCTCTCTGTCTGCTCTGAGAGAAAATGTGCCTCCAGTACGGCTTGTCTCATCTTCCCCAGTGCCTTGGTAATCTCTGTGTCGTATCAGCCTTTCCCATCTGAACTCCCTTTCTTCTCCTTTGGGCTGCCTTAAAACATACCTCACACAGACCTGGGCTCATTAACCTAACAAAGAAAATCCTCTTCTCAAGTGGGATTGCAACCACAGGACTTGGGGCGAGCAATTAGGACATTCATGCTGGGGCAGATATAGTTCAAACCATAGGAAGACTGGAAGCCTTTTCCCAAAGGAGAATTAGGGACTCCTAGGGAGAGCGTGCCACAGGGAGAGAAGAGCCAGGCTAGCTAGCTCTCCCTAGCCTGGATTGTTGTTCACGCACTAAGCCCATGCTCCCGTGTGATTTCCCCTGTCTATGGCAGCGACCTCAGAGTCAGAGCTTGAGGGTTTGGGTGGATAACGAACATTAGTCAAACAAACAGAAGTGGCAACAATGATGGTGAGACGACAAGTCCACTAAAAATGTGTCTGGGCTAGATTGTGACCTTGGACTTAGAGCCAGAAGTCTAGGCACTGAGCCTGGAGTGTGAGACCCATTGAAGATGACCTAGGTCTTCCCATCGTCATCTCTCTCCAGTCCTCTTTTATGCTTCCCCGTTGTCCGGCCCAGCTGATCGTTCCTAAATGTGACTCCCCTTTCCCAACAGCCGGGCCTTTGCTCTACCAAGAATGATCTTCCCCTCGAGGCGTCTCCAAGTTTGAATCCTACACACTGTCTGGTCTCAGTTGCTTTACTTGTCTAGTTGGAAAGAAAGGTGGCTTAACGGATGTTAGAATCCTGTTCTATTCTCAAGTTTTGGGAGCCGTCACCTTGAGTAACTGTCTGTATCCCCCAGGCGGACACATCGCTGGGAGTCTGGCCGTCATCACAGATGCTGCTCACCTCCTGATTGACCTGACCAGTTTCCTGCTCAGCCTCTTCTCCTTGTGGTTGTCCTCGAAGCCAGCCTCCAAAAGACTGACATTTGGATGGCACCGCCTAGGTACAGTCCAGTGACTGAGCAAGCACAGAGAGCTCTAAAGTACAAGGGTCAAAATGTCAGGTACCAAGCAAAACCTTGTTCACATATCTCCTAGAGGCACAGCTCTGGTGCAGAGGCTAAAACAAACCGCTGGGCTGAAAGATGCTACTCAGCATTCATGTAAACAATAAGCAGATAAATAGCACCATCTCTGCTGTTGCACGAAAGGAACATGTGTCTCCTTTTAGCACACAGCCCCTTTCTACCCTAGGGCCTCGGTGTATGGCTCCAGCTTTGATGTTCCTCATTGAATAACTCTGTATCCCTGGGATAGGGGACAGGGGTTAAGCTTCTTCCAAGTTGGAACGCAAGGCACTGAGAGCCTAAATGGGTTGAAGAGATTTAAGTGCTTCTCAGAATGGATTATAGGAAATAGAATCTGGGCTTCCTCGCTCTTAGCACACACCAGAGAATGGCTCATCTGGATATCTCGCTCAATTATATATGGAGGAAAAGGAAGAAGGAAGAGAATGAAATGGGTGGAAGAGGAAGCGGAGGAGAAAAAGGACAGAACTTCGTATGGATCGGGATTGTATTAGTCTTGGTACTTTAGAGAAACAAATCCACAGCACCTCATGTAGAAGAGACTTTTATGTAAAGAAAATGTGCATCATGAAAACATCCCAACCCAATGCTGCCCAAGCCCACAAGTCCAACATTAACCCATGAACCCAACACCAGTCCACAAAGTCCTCCACCTCACAAAACAGAGGCAATGATGCCGACTGCAGGAGGAAAGCTGAGTCAGTGAACGAATAAGCATCTCAGCACTAGCAGGGGTCTCCACATGGCTGCTCCAGCACCCAGGGCTGCATCGGGATAGGTCTATGTGGCTTCTTCTTGGGGATGTCTTGTAGGAAGTCAATCTTGCAAGCTGAAGCAGGAAACTGTTAAGGCAGCTGCACCCTGGTGCTACCATCACAAAGCAAGAGACCCGAGAACTAGAAAGGCGAAGTTCACCACCCATTTATCCCTCTGCCTTTCAATTAGCCCCACATGTGATTATCAGCCAGGTTGGCACAATTAACTAACTCAGGGACATTCAATGTGAAGGAGACTGAGGGCAGTGTGAAAGTGGTGGGGATGTCAGCCAGCATGAACAGTAAAACCACGTTTTCCTGGAAGCTTTTCCTGAAAGGCACTGTAAACACGGACCCCAGGGTATAGACTGACTAGCATGGAGCATGACTTTTCCAGCTTAGGATGATAAACCCCACACTCACTGCCCTGGAACTGATTTTGCCTCAGAGAGACCCTGTAGGACAGAGCAGAACTGGCCATGTGGGTGTCCGAGACCTTAACTCTTTGTGAGAGTAGAAAGCCTTATAGGATGTTCTCTTTTCAAAGCACACAACTTATCACTGAAGAGGTTTTGAATGGCCTTGCCCTGAAGTTCAGAGAGAGCGCTGAGGCAATAAGAGGACAGTGCAGTGGTATCACAGCATGCACTTTGCCAGTACCTGAACCCAGCGACACTTAAGAGCATAGGCCTTTTGCTGGGTACATTTTTACATGCATTTAACCCTTTTAAAGGAGGCCTGGTGGCACAGTGGGTTAGGCTTTGGGCTGATAACTGTAAGGTCTGTGGTTCATATCTACCAGCTGCTCCATAGGAGAAAGATGAAGCTGTCTGCTCCCATAAAGATGGACATTCTTAGAAACCATGTATCAGGGGACTATGAATCAGAATTGATTGACCTGATGGCAGTTTTATTTTTAAACTCTTCTGATACCATAGGGGAATACACAGGGGGAATAGTGCCACTGTAGACCTTGTAGGTAAGCTCAGCCCAGCCAGAGACTAGCCTGGCCATCCCCATGGCCTGTGTACAGCAATGATCACTGTTTCCTCTTCCTCACTAGTTCCTTTTGGATTCTTTATTTTGTCCTTAGGTTTGGGCCCCCCCTCCTGCCTTCGGACTTGCTATTTGGGCTTTGTCCTCACGATACTTCTCTGGTCATGGGATCACATTTGGATACGGTTTACTGGCTAGCTCTGGTCTGAGCTCTCAGGTGCATTGAGTCACTTAATATGACTCTCCTTGCCATAGCCTTGTAGCTCCTATCGTGTGGTTAGGTGAGAAGAAGAAACAAAGGTGCTGTGGGGGTGGGAAGCTGCTAATAGTGCAAAAAAGGAAAGAAGAGGTGCATGGCATACTTGCTGGGGTGGAACAGTGCCCATAAAGTAAAGGGACCCTAATGAGGGGACTGAGGAGCCCCGGGGGCAGAGTGGTCACAAATTAGGCTGCTAATCACAAGGTAAGCAGTTTGAGACCACCAGCTACTCCTTGAGAGAAGGGCGAGGCATTTACTTCTATAAAGAGTTATAGTCTTGGAAACTCACTGGCCAGTTCTATCCCATCCTGTAAGGTTGATAGGAGTTAAACTGACTCAATGGCAGTGAGCTTGATTTTGACCTTTTTCATAAGGTGATTGGTCATTTGCCATCTTTGAAAGCTTAAAGAGCTAAACCTGAAGTAGAGAAGGGATTGTACAACCATTAAGAAAGAAGAACCAAGAGTGGGCTGTGTCCTTTAGACCTCAAGTTCGTGCATTGGAAGGCACCTGGTCTCAGACACACAGAGAGAGCTGTGAATCTGGAGACCGCATTAGACAAGGAGAAGTGGCAGAGAAACGGCAGTGGAAGTCCCAGGAGAACAGCAGGAGACAGAAGAGTGGGCTTCTGGGCCCATGGAGTGAGAGAGCTGAGCACTTTCAGGAAGGAGACTTGCCGGTGGAGGGGGGTGTCTTTGCGCATGTGTAGGTGGAGTGAAAGGGCTATGTCATGAGAGTTGGAGGGGGTGAGGGCCTAGGTCAGAGAGCAGGAAGAAGCCCACCTGTGGGCATAGCTGAGAAGAACCTGTCCTAGTTTAAGAACTGCATTCTGAGTCTCCCTGATTCCTAAAGTGTCACCTTTCACTGCCCTAGTAAACCCCATGACTGGGGATGAGTAGCGCCAGTGAGTTCTGTGTGGCCATCGCAACCATTATTGAACCCCGGAGAAGAGTAGATCATGCCATGGGAGGGATGGCTGCCTTCAGAATTGGTAAAAGGGTCAAGAACATTGGTATGCCTGACTTCTACCTCATAAGAATCAGCCTAATGCTGCTGCTGAACTCGCTCTCTCAAGAAGTTAGGGGGCATCAGACACCACTACCACGACAGAAATTCTTGGGCCTGGTTCATGTAACATCTCACTGGGGAACTTTAAAATAGCCTATGAAGACTAATGAAATAGTATTTCTTGAGTATTGCCTCTATTGCAACTTATTATACATCATATGCCAATAGTATGCCTCTGATGTTTAACTGGCTCCATAAATAAGGATACTCAGGTGCAAATGGATTAAGCCATTTCCCCAAGGTCACACAGTCAATAACTAGCCGACTACATATGCTGACATTTGGACTCTTACCATAAACATCTAGACCAGCATTTTCCACAGTGTGAAAAATACACACTTGTGGTAAATTGAGTGAGCTTAAATACTACGTGGATGACAAGTACATATCCTAAGATCATTCTAATATATATTAGCAAATGAATTAGCACATCCCACATGTAACTTCATAGATAATTTTATTGAGGGAATGGCTAAGTGTAACAAATGACTTTGTTCAGAGAAATTCTTAATTAACTAACAACCCAGTTCCACCACTCATCTGTGAGTGTGTTGTATTGTGGTGGTTTGTGTGTTGCTATGATGCTTGAAGCTAGGCTACCAGTGTTTTATATATGCCAGGAGGGCCACCAATGCTGGACAGTTTTCAGTGGCACTAAGATAAACACTAGACAGTTAACTTCTGAAGGATTAGCCCCTGAAAACCATATGAATAGCAGTAGAACATTGCCTGATGTAGAAATATGTTTATGTGTGTCTTATTGACTACAAAAAGACATTCAATTGTGTGTATCCTAGGAAATGATGGATAACATCCTGAAGAACACTCACTGTGCACATGCAGAACGTGTGACTAAATCAAGAAGAAGCAGTCACTCAAATGGGACAAGGAGATGCTGAACGGTTTTCAATTAGGAAATATGCGCATCGAAGTTGTTTTCTTTCATCACACTTATTCAATCCTTTGCTAAGCAAGCAATCCAAGAAAGTTGAATATGGTATCAGGATAGGAGGAAGGCCTGTTAACAACCTAAGACATGCAGATGACACAACCTTGCTCATTGAAAGGGAAGAGGATGCACTCACTGAGGAAGATCAAAGACACTACAGCTTGCAATGCAGATCACACCTCCACAGAGAGAAGCAAACCAAAACAGCACACCTACCAGTTGAACCATTTACTAATTCATCATAAATGAAGAAAAGATTAAAGTTGTCATGGATTTTATTTTACTTGAAGACATAATCAAGGCCGATGAAAGTAGCAGTTGAGAGGTCAAAAAGTGCATTTCACTGAGCAAATCTGCTGCAAAAGATTTTTAACATTTTTAATAGAGCCAATATATTTGAGGAGTAGAGTGTGCCTGGAGCCCTTGTGTTGTGGTTACTCAATGGGCCACTAACCACAAGGTCATAAGTTCAAACCATTAGCCAGCACCTTGGGAGAAAGATGGCACTTTATACTCCAGTAAGAGTTAGTCTTGGATGTCAGACAGTGTAAGACGTGACATAATAATAATAATTTATAAATTATCAAGGATTCGTGAGAAAGGGGTAAAAATGAGGAGCTGATACCACGTGCTCAAGTAGAAAGCAAATGTTTGAGAATGATGATGGCAACAAATGTACAAATGTGCATGACACAATGGATATATGTATGGATTGTGATAAAGTTGTATGAGCTCCCAATAAAATGATTTAAAAAAAAAGAGTTAGTCTTGGAAACTCATGGGGGCAGTCTACCCTGTTGTATAGGATTGCTAGGAGTCGGCATTGACTACCCGATGAAAGCCATGATATTTTTGGTGCATCATAAAGCTGGGCAGCTTATAAGGAAGTTAATCCAGAAAAGAAGTGATGCATTTATATTATGGCATTGATGAAGAATATTGAAAGTACCATGGACTGCCAGGATAACAAACAAACCAGTCTACAAAGAAGTAGTTGAAGCGAGGGTGGTGAGGTTTTGTCTCATATATTTTGAATATGTTTAGGAACCCTGGT